TTCAAGGGAGAAATAATAGCATTAGAAAAAAAATTTGAAATATTCACTACAGGCAAAGTGTTTATACCTATAATATACAAAGAGCACTTAGAAAAAAATGACTAGAAAACAATCCAACAGAAAAGGGATAAGGGATGAGAATGACAATTTAGAGAGGGGGGAAATACAAATAGCTAAAAAAAGTCTTTTAAAAAGTTCAAATTGTCTAGTAGTTATGAAAATGTACACCCTCTAATATCAATGTTATAGTATTTTACAGCCACCAGACTGACAAAACTAACAGCGTTACACTTTTTTGGAAAGGCAACCTGGCCACATTTAAATATAAACAGAAACATACAACACACATACACATATAATATAGATATAACACATTACTCAGCATTTCCACTTTGAATCTTCCCCATAGAAAGAAAACATTAGGCTGTAGAGACATATGTAAAGAATGTTTATTGTAGTGTTGTCTTTAGAGGCAAAAAGTGAAAACGAAGTCAATTTTCATGAACATGGAAATGAGTATATAAATTATGATGCATCCATACCATAAGAATAATATTTAGCAATTGAAAAGAATGAATTAAATCTACGCCTGTTGACTGAAGCATTTGAACAAAGTTTGGAGTGAGAAACACAAAATGCAGACAACAATGAAAACCCTATATTTGCATTTACATCTGTGAGTATTATGTGTATGTGTATTTCTATCTATATAGTATTAAAGACCCTGGACAAACAAGGAAAGATTTATACCACATTGTCAATAGGATTTACATTGCGATGGGTGATGCTATGTTGTATGTCAAGGAGAGAGTTCTGCAGAAAGAGGAGTCAAAGGATTAAAAAAAAAAAAACAGCATGTGTAGAATTTTATCTATACATTTGTGCAAAGTTATCCCCATGTGGGAAAGAAAGCCATTACTTTATTATGGATGGGGCAATGCTAGAGAAGGTGCCTCCTCCTACCACATGTGTGAACTGAGAACACCTTCTTCTGCTACTGTATGGCTGAGGCTTGTTTTTTTTCTTTCAGTTGTGAACCCATCATGAGTATGCTTTGTTTTTTGTAGGAAAGAAATTAACTTTGGTAAGTTATAAGTACTCCTAGGATATGGCTACTAGCCATGAAGAATCCAGAGCAGAAAAGAGAGCAACCCAGGCCAGCCTCATCAACACCACAGGGCCGAGAATGCAGAGTACTGATAGCCCCCGGAGGGAATGCAGATATTAGTCTAAGTGAGCTGGGCAGTCTTTTGTGGGACTCTAAGCAGAGTGACATGGTTTGATTAATCAATCCACTGCCTGAAATATTCTTCTCCCTTCTACTCTCAGCCTCTTCCCATCCTAAATCATTCTTCAGGTATCTTCATGGATGAGATTTTCTTCCCTCTACCCTGATTCCCCTCATTATCTAGGTTAAGTGGCCACCCTCCTCTCTCACACAGGGCCTGGAACCTTTGCTCATCATAATAATACCTGTTCTGGATAGACAATTGCCTCTTTCTCCTTCACTAGACTGTTGGTGCTTTACCCCCTCTTGTCAGGTGTGGGGACCATTTGGCAGGTCCATGTTCCCTGGTTTTTGGTTCCCAGTACCAAAGAATGGTTACTGGTACCGAGATGATGGAACAAATGAGCAAACCAAGCAGATGCAAGCCAGCAAAGTGCCAAAGTTTATTAAAACATAGTACCTTCCAGAGAAAGAATGGATCAACCCCCCAGAGTGGAATTTCCCTTTTATGCTGATTCCCTAATTTTATGTTTAGTGGGGGAAGGAATATTCATGGATTTTCTCAGAAAGGGGTGGAGAATTGGAGACCCTTCCTGTTTTCAACCTTGTAAGGCATTTTTTGGGGGTTGCCACGGTATTTGTAAACTGTCATGGAGTGGGTGGGTGTGATTTTTACTATGTTAATGAGAGTAGGTCACTTGGGGATATTGTCATCGCCTTACTTGCAGGCATGATCCAGAGACCCTCATTTGTGGCCTTGATCATATCTCCACTTTGCGGCCTTTCTACCTCTTTGTGGTTGGTCAGGGCCCCAGATGGTGACACAGAAATACCTCACACTGCTGGCGTTTGCTGCTGATGCAGCTTCCCCGGGGCTGATGCTGGAGAAGACACTTCCTTCCTGGCCCCACACGGCCGGCGATGCAGAGCCTGCCCTGGCGGGTGAGCGCTGGGGCAGCTCCCACAAGTGGGTCCTTGGAATCACTGAGGCTCAGGGACCTGCTGAGCACGACAAGGCTGAGGCTTGTTCCCAGGGAGTCCCGGCTCCCAGGGAGAGGTCCTCACCTCATTGAGAGAAAAGCAGATGGGGCTGGGGAAGGGGTCCTGGAGCCAAGCCCCCAAACTGCTGTGGCCCTCTGTGTGTGTGTGGAAGCAGATGCTGGTGAATTCCAGCAGGCAGTTTGAGCAGGCCCGAAGCCTCACTCCTGGGATCTGGCTTTACCGGGACCCTGCTCCTTCCTGCCAAGTCGGGCAGCCTCTGGTGGAATTTCTTGACATTGGCCATGGTCTTGACATTGGTCTTCTCAGAGCTGCCACGGCAGAGCCCTTTCGGTGCCTGTTGCACTGTTGGCCGTGGAGTCCACTGTGCAGGTCGTGACTGCCCCAGGTCTGCGAGGTCCAGCTTGTGCTCAGAATGTCATAATAAACACAGATGCATCCCCTGCCAAAAAAAAAACCCTATCGTAGACCAAATACCTGGACCCCCTATCGTAGACCAAGTATCTGTTCAGTCCTTGGAAGCCCCCTTAACATATCATCTGTTCCTTCTAGGAAGCCCCATTCCCGGTCAATTTGTTCCTCCTACTGTAGACAGAGCATCTTCTAGTTTCATCTATTTCTCAATGGAAACCCCCTAGACAAAGCAATGGTTCCCCTTCCTCCTTGTTCCAACCTAACACTCCCTCTCAGGACAGGACCTGGTTCAAGGCACCAACTTGCTCTACTAATGAAAGATAAATGGGTACATATTTACTTTTTAGCTTTTATTTTGTATTTGTTTCTTTTAAATATATATTACATATTTAGGTTTTATTCTCTTGCTGCACCCCCCTTCCCCCTCCCCCCTCCCTGCCGCCCCAAGCATTCAGTAAAGTTTCTCTTGAAAATGTCAACCTGACTCCATTGAACAGGGAGACAGAGGGAAAGATAGCTTTGTACAGCTTGGGAGGAAAAATTAAAGGTGGAGAAATCTCACCCCACCGCCACCCTCCTGCTTTCTCTTCTCTCCCCCCGCCCACCACTCCCCCAGCTCTGTGAGGCGGTGGAAGCAGCAAGGAGTGGTCCAAGGTGGAGGAGGCGCTCCTTTCCACAAGGATCTCCTATGCCGCTGCTCTAAATAAGGGGGCGCTGTTCTATTCAAGGCATCTCTGGAGTGTTTCACTGCAAGGTTTGGGGGTAATAGAAGACTGGGCAGAGAAAGGTGCAGTTCCTATAAACGTTCAAATCCCAGGCTCCAATATAACCAGAGTGAACCAGCAGCTTCCCTGCCCCGGCAAGGGGATCCGATTTTAGCCTGGCGTAAGTCAATACAATAAATTTCCCAGCCTTAAAGCGCTTCCCGAGGGACACTTTGAGCGCTCGCCATACTAGTGCGTAAATGCCGCTCCCGAGAGGGTGCGGGCGTACGCCAGCCCCAGCCACTGTGCGGGTCTGTACTACCCATCCCCGCCCGCGTTCCACAGTTCCGAAAGGAGGGGAGCGGGCACAGGGAGTAAATGAGCCCCTGGTGGATTCGGAAGGTTTGATTCCCGGCGGAACCGCATCTCCTGGGGCATTCCTGCTGGAGCACACTCCGGAACTCAACCCATCTAAGCTTCTCTAAAATGGTTCACACAAACTGGAGAGTTTTTCCCCACCTCCTACCAGTGCCCCGCAGCAGCCCGACCGTTTGAAGTGGCGTCGCACTGGAAGACAAGGCCTCTAAGTCCCCCGGGGGCGGGGCGGGACGAGATGCGGAGAGAAGGCGGGCAGACCTGCGCTGCTCTCCGGTCCCTATGCAAACCTGGAAAGGACCAAGGGGAAGAGTCCCCGACGCCACCCCGGACCGCGTTTTAGCCTGCAGGCCGGAGAGGCGCGGAGGCAGAGGCTGCTAAGTCCCCGGAAGGCGAAGGCAACGACGCAGTGGGTGCTGGCGGAGAGCCCAGAGTCGCGCGTCTGGGCGACACGCTGCCCATGGTCGGCTCCTGAGCTCACCAAGCTTCGCAGGGAGCCCAGCCCAGTCCCCAGTGCTTGCGCAGAGGGCTCATCTGGAGGGCTCAGATGGAGCTTCTTCTGGAGCTAGGGGCCAAGTCACCAGGGTGGCCAAGGAAAGTGTCCCCAAAGCTTAGGGACTATCATTGCTTCCGAGGGAAATCTGCCCGCTAGGGAAAGAAGCCGGGTTTTTGAAGGTGTGCTTCCTAAATACGACTTCAGTAAAGTTGTTTTCCGAACACCTGGAACCTGGAGTCGTCTCCTCTTGCTACTCGGTAGCAGCTGGAGCTAGCCTGCGATGCGCTCTGGCTGGAGCGCGGCCGGGAGCGCAGCGCTGGCACGTCGCCCCTACATTTGCCCGACTCCCATTGCCACAGGCAGGCGCCTCTGCAGAACTGTCGCAGGGCTCCGGGCTACCCTCCCTGGAAGTTGAGTGTCCTTCACTCCAGCTGTTTCCCAAAAGCTTCCTGTACCCCAGCACCGCTGGTGCAACTGTAGTTCCAGTTGCGGACCCCAGCTGGCTCAGTTACTCCCAGGCCACCTACTGCCCCCTCGCGGAATGCGTGGGACTCCCGGCTTGCAGACGCCCACAGGAGGTAGCAGGCAGCAAAAGGCGTGGTGGCTGCGGCGGTGGAGTGAGACAGTTGCCAACAGCTGGCGCAGCTGCCGCGCTGCGCACGGGGACCAACCAGTACGCAGCCCAGGTACTGCCCCTTGGCGGTGACGTCTCTGCAGCGGGTTATAAAAGCCTGGTGCGCAGCCTGCTGAGGTTCTGCTAACTCCCGAGCTGAGAGGTGCTTGCGAAACTGCAGGCGGCGGCGGCGGCAGCGAAAGCGAAGGAAAAATCGCCAGCTGGAGCGGGGGCCCCAGAATTCTGACCATACACTTAGAACTTTTACAGGTCGCGCTGTGACGGCCCCGCTCCGCCCCCTTTGCTCCCAAGTCCTCACGCAGAAACAGGGCTTTGCCTTTCCCGCCGCAGGAAGGGAAAATAGGGGAGTTGCAAGCAGCAGCAGGTGCAGAAGGACGGGGGTCTCTTGCTGCCTAGAATCGTGACTGGTGCAATTTTTTCCCTCTTCCAATTTAACGCAGGAGAGACGCTGTCTCCAGATTTCTGAACTCAGACGCTTCCTGGAGCTTGAAAGTGGAGGAATTCAGGGGCAGGCAGACAGCGTATCTAGAAGTGTTTATCTTCTGAGCGGCAAGCCCTGCTTGCAAAAAGAGTTCTGCCAAGAAAGAGCCTTCTGCCCTCTTGTCTGACTTAAGCTCGACCCTGAACCTCTGGCGCCTGCCACAGGACTTTACTGCAAAGGGGGTGTGTGTACAAAGAGGAGGACTTTACCGCCTAGCTGCAAAATGGACAACGTCCTTCCAATGGACTCAGACCTCTTCCCAAACATCTCCACTAACACCTCAGAGCCCAACCAGTTCGTGCAGCCAGCCTGGCAAATTGTCCTTTGGGCAACTGCCTACACGGTCATCGTGGTGACCTCCGTGGTGGGCAACGTAGTGGTGATGTGGATCATCTTGGCCCACAAGAGAATGAGGACAGTGACCAACTATTTCCTGGTGAACCTGGCCTTCGCGGAGGCCTCCATGGCTGCATTCAACACAGTGGTGAACTTCACCTACGCAGTCCACAACGAGTGGTACTACGGCCTGTTCTACTGCAAGTTCCACAACTTCTTCCCCATTGCTGCTGTCTTCGCCAGTATCTACTCCATGACGGCTGTGGCCTTTGATAGGTGAGCTTGCCTTTTGTGGAAAAGTAAGAAAGTTCATAGACAACCATGGCATTGCTATGAAGTTTTGGGGCTGAATCATGTATGGTCCAAAGGGAAGATGGGCTTACTCATGCCTTGGGGTTTTTGCTGACAGCCAAAGTAGTAATGAAATAAATGAGTCAGTTGTTGATGGGGAACTTTATCTTATGTATCTTTTCCCCTACCCTTCTTCACCCATCACCAATCTCCCTTCCTTTCAACATATACTCTTCTTCATTTACGTCCCCTTTCTTCATCCTTTTTCCACTCATCTTCCTGACACTTTCTTTTCAACTCCTGCTTTTCTCCCTCCCATGTATTCCTTCTCCCCTTTACCCTTATAGCCTCAAAGGGATGTTCAGGGCTTGGCCAATGGGGCTAGCTCCTGGTTGGGGCTTTGTAAATTCTTCCAGGCCTGCTCTTCTGTTGGGCAGCCTCTTATTGCCTTCATGTTTTAATTATGCCTAGGCAAAATACCTCATTTTTCACTTTTTTCTAAAGATTCTGGGACTTTCTGCTCGCACTTCAACTCTCCAATACCGTTTGGATATGAAGAGCATTTTATCAGAATCATAAAATACTTAGGATTCTAATTCAGCTCCCTCTATGCTACTAGGAGTTCTCATTCAGGAATGAGAGGCAGCTACACAGTGCTTTAAGGAACTCCGCAGGTAGAGATCTAGGGAGCTTACCTGGGAGGTTTCCTAAATTTCTCTTGCAATGTAAGGTCAATGTTGTTAGCCTGTGTGTATCCACAGAGAAACGTACTTGGCAAAGGTAATTGACAGCACTTCCTTTCCTGCAACAAACAGGGGTTTCAGAAGCTGATTGAAAGTGAAAAGGTTGACATTTTCAAATACTGGGGCTCTTCAGGTATCACGATGGAAAATTGATTATTAGTGCACACCTCTATTGGTATTGACTTTCTCATGGGTGTTCTAGGTCTTTAGTGTGTATGTTTGTGTGTGTGCACAGGTGTTAAATGTTTACCTGGAATGTGGAGGTATGTTTTAAACACCTGCCACTGTGGATTCATTTGATGTCCTTACTGAGATAAATGAATGTGAGAAACCCAAAGAAGGAGCGAGGAGAAAACTTCAGCAAAAAAATTCCCAAACTACTAACCCCTTTTGCACCAAGATTATTTATGACTTGCAATAATTGATTCGAGACCTTTCTCAGCTTCTGCATTCAATGAACATTTAAAATCAGGGAAATCTATACTTCCATCCCTTGCAGTGGTGTCCAAATGCTGATTTGTTAGTTCCACGTACGTCTCCCTTTATCCAACCCTAATGTACTTGATATGTCATATGTAAAACAAGTTGTGCTGAATCAATTTATATTTTACATGTAGAAGGTAAACCCATTACTCAAAGTAGTAGTGAAATAAAGTATTTTGTAAATTTATGTTTATGCTACCCTGGTTTTTAGATACTCAGTTTGCTGAAAGTGAGGTATACCTGTAAATCTTTCTGCATTGACTTGCTACTTTAATCTTACAGCAGCTTCCTTAAACTTAAAAAAACAAAAAACCCATGGCATAATATATAACTGAATATCCAGGCAGTGAAATATGATGCCATTTCATCCTTACACATGCTTTCTTGTTGATCCCTAAATTAGAGAGAAAGGGGGTTTTTTCCTTGTTTTTTGTTTTTCAGGGTTTTTTTGGTCTTGTTTTTTTACTGCGTTGGGGCCTTGCACAGCTCTAGGAATACCTGTCATTCAGTGTGAGCTGAATTATTCCATAGCTGGTGAAGCACCAACAGATAGCTCTGTCCCTTTGGCTTACACAGAAACATGTTCCACAGCCCTGCTCTTTCCGTTGGAACTTAGAAGGCTAGGGATGGGATTCGGGGTCAGAGTCTTCACAGTGGATTGGACAGGAAGCCAGATTTCAGCTCCATTGTTGTTTTTCACTAGGTAAATCATGGCAGGACCCTGATCCTTCATGACACCTGCTCAGTGAAATCACAAGGTCTCAGATGCCAGAGCTTCAGGAAATAACAGCAGTGAGAAATGTCCCCTGGTTTCTAATATACAGATACAGCCCAGGGAGGTTATCAATGGGTAAAGTTAGGGATGAGGCTTCAGGTCTCTATCTCCATGTCCTCCAAGTGCTCTGTCTGTTTTTCCTTGCTCAGCTTGGTGAATACACCATGAATTCATCCCCTCAGGCCCTCTAGTGAATGTATCCACCACATGCGTGGTCATCCATTCTCTTCCAAGAATATTTTAGAAAGGGGGACTTAAGTTCTCTCCATATGAATTTTCTCTCCTTTTCTTCATGTAAGTCTACATGGAAATGCAAACGTAGAGGAAATGCTAAATTAGCTTTGTATATGTCCCTTGAATTTTTAATGGACAACCTTTGAATCAAGTCTTAAAAAATAACAGCACTGTGGTTTTCCTGATTATAAAATTAAACCTTGTTCATTGCAGAAGCCTTGGGAAATATAAAGAGTGTAGACACAAAAATACAAATCACCATTGATTCACCATCCAAAAATAACACCTGTTAACATTTGTATTTCTGTTTTATGAATATTACACTACATAATTGAGGTCAAATTCTATATAATTTTGTAGCTTACTTTTTCCCATTGATATGAATGGAAAATATTAATACTTTTTCATGTTACTAAAAAGTCTTCATAAACATAATCTTAATGGCTTCATATTATTCCATTATGTGAATATGCTATTATTTACTTAGCCATTTCCCTATTGTTGGATATTTAGGTGATTCCTAGATTTTTTGCTATTATGATTAATGCTCTAATGAACATTTATATATGGTAATTTTGTTTTGCCTTCTGGATTTTTTTCTTGGGATAGATTCCAAGAAGTGGAATTCTTGAATCAAATGAGATGAATTTTTTTAAAAAACTCTATCTTCTAATTTTAAAGGATTTTTAAAGGAATTGTTGGGTGGAACTATCTCAGTAAGCTTTGTCTAATTTCCTTCTAGAACTAAAGTGTACATAGAAAAAAAAACTTTAGCTGCATATTGCAGTACGGATTTTCTGTAGCCTGTCCATAAATAGAGGGTCAGAGGAATAAAAAGAAAGAAAGAGAGAAGGGAAAAGAAAGAGATAGCCCCTTCATAAGTAATATTTATTTTTTGAAGGCAGTGGTTACCTAGAATAAAAAAAGTTTCAAAGAAAAATATAGCTAAGTAAGATCACATCTACCTCTATTTAAATTCCAACAAACACCAGGGATTTTACCTATTGAAACTCTGTAATTCCTCCCATTTAAAATTTTAAAATTCTTTCCTACTGTAAAAACTAAAAGGTACATATGACGTTTCATGAAATTTGAAGACGAGGAACACTGAGAGGTGACACACCCAGTTTGCAGGGGTCAGTGACAATGACTGGTTCTGTTGTAGTGCTGAGGCCCCACATTGTGGAGCAGAATCTGAGAAGGAAGGAGGGGGCCATCACTAAGCCCCACAGGAAGTGTGAAGGGGCAACAGATAAACTGACTTGGAACCATGCGCGTAGCAACAGGAGGTTCAGAAAAGCACTGGCCTGGTGCCATTGCTTCTCTACCTCGTAGGGGCAGGCTTAATTTCAGTGAGATGAAAGGTAAAGGTTGCTCACTGCTCAGACTAGTTCTGGATACATCGTGTGTGAATGAAAGGAAACATCCAAGTAGGGATGGTCTCTGGACAATATGAGATATGGTCAGGATCCAATATAGTTGCCCAGATAGGAGTAACGGTTGAAGGCAAAAGAGGAAATGAGCTCTCCAAGAGAGTAAAAGAGGAATCTGGAACAAAGACATGCATAAATAACAAAAATTTCACTCACTGACCCCTGGTATCCATTCCACTCTGTCCCAGCCACACCCAGCTACCAATGTAAGTAGCCTGCTTCCCCGGTCTCTGCTAGACCTGCCATCTGTCCTTGAACCTTACCTTGTTGGCTGGATACAGATCCTATTGTCTGTCTCAGGATAGACCTTCCTCATCCCTCCCAGAGGCAGGGCTTAGATTCCAGGATCCTTTGCACTGACTTGGTTGGACCTGGAAATCTATTACCAAGCACCCCTGTGAAGCTGAGAGTGGCCATTCACTAGAAGTTCATCCACCACAACTGTCTTTTCCATTCAAGAACTTCAAATGTCAATGTTGATGTGGATCAAAATGGAGGGTATTTAAAAATGCATGCATTCATATTTTTATTTTCATTTTTTTATTTCAGAATATTATGAGGGGTACAAATGTTTTGGTTACATGGGTTGCTTTTGTACTGCTTGAGTCAAAGTTGTAAGTGTGCCCATCACTCAGATAGTGTACATAGTACCTGTTAGGTATGGAGTAGTTTACATCTTGGATGGGTCATTTAGGTGTCAGGACCTTTCCTAGAGAGGATTGTTGCCCCCCTCCTCCCTGGAGCTGCCCCACTACACTTGCCACACTCTCCCCCTACTCCTGGGAGTCTGCAGTGTCCTGAATGGTCAAGGCTGTTGGTTTTTTTTTAACTGGCAGAAACATAGGTTAATTGGGGGCAAATAAAGAGTGATTCTCAAACTAAAAGCACATAATACAAGCACAAGACTTTGTTACTATTATTGTTGAATTAGGAAATGATAGAATAAGGATCATAGGGAAAAATATTCACTATTAAACTTAGACAAAGTATTCAATCCATCAAGTGCCGATGCCACCAAGGTAAGGTGATATTTCCTAACTCAAAGTCTCAAAGGGCATATGCTGTGTATTAGGCAAATCAGACTGATTTAGAGGTGATTGCAATTTAAGGTATTGAGTGATACGTTTCATAGGGGTTGTACAGACACCTTCTATAGGACAGAAGAGGGGGAGATCGTGCCCACTGGTGGTCAATAATTGAGGAAGACCTCAAAAGGTGAAAATGGAGTTGGGCCATAAAGTTTAAGTAAGATTTTTAAAGAGAATGATAAAAAGAAAGGTGTCATTCCAGGTAGAAGAAGCTGTATGACAAGAACAC